TTTGAATCGCCAGAAACAGTCAGCTATGTTCTGCTCACGTTGTTTTATACTTCACTTCTTGTCAACTCCAGGTGAACTATCAGACTCCAAAGAACTATCCACATTAAATGATTAGCCTTACCCTTATTATATGCGAGTGAGTGAAGCCACGAAGTCACCAAATTAAACTACCCTAGAAGCGGAAATCCCTCGCGGCCTCAATCCGCGTCGCAGTATTGAGTCAACACAAAAAAGGCGCCAAAGGCCGGCCGACGAGCTCCACTAGCCAAATAGCATCCTGGGTCGGCAGAATGCCACCAGTCCGTCAAACAGCCGAGAACAACAGAGGAAACGTTGGCCACGCTGCAGGAAGACTCCTCGGGAAGTCAAAAGCATTGCTATCTTGCTTGTGCCCCGACCCAGCGGCCGGACGCTTTGCAACCGGCGCTGATAGTTCGACACTGACATCAGCCCTCACACTTTAAGTATTCAGCGCGACCGAACGTCCTGCTCTCTATGCGCCTTGTAGACCTTCGCCAGCACACTAAAAAAGTAAGACAAACTGCAATCGTAACGCAACCACAAAGAAAACGAGGAGATCTACAAGTACAAAATCCAGATTAACCCCTAACCCTCGACGATAGCAAATTCACTTCGTCAACCGAATAACTTTGTTAAAGGCGGAGCCAACTCGGACACGCTGCAAGAAGCATACGACCTCACCAGCCTAAGTAACGTCTTAACGACCATAAAGCGAAACCCGAAGCCCCTGCGGTGGGTCCCATGTCTGTAAAAACTAGAATCTAAATGTCAATAGCTATACATGAGGTAGCATATGACAGGATTATGTAAACTGATCCCTTGGCATAGGCCAATCGAAACGCGAAATATAAAAGGAAAACAATTCGAAAGGATTACTCTTGTTAGAGCAGCACCGACATAAACGCTTAAAAACGGCTTTACAGAAGACTAAGAATGTGCAGTAAAGGAGTTTAGACACAAAGGGATTCAATTTTTCGCCCCATTTTCGCTTCCACTATGCTGATTATTCATTTCCGTATCGGAGTGGTGAGGTTCAGGAGATGCTGACCTCTGGGATTGGGATCTTGACCTGGATTGCGACCGAGATTGTGACTTGGCATCCGAATGAGAGCGCTCTCGAGCGCGAACATCAGAAGGGGATCGGGATCGAGAATGCGCTGGCGAGTGCGAATGGGACCGCGACCGAGACCCTGATGCTGATCGGGCATCATCACCCTTTACAGATCCGCCACCATTCCGACTTGCCGAACGGCTTGCATGCTCCGTGGAACGACGACTTTGTCTTGAGGGCGACTTTTCAGAACGCCTGGAGAGAGACTTTGAGCGAGACCTCCGGGAACCTTC